CTTAAGTAGTCAACAAGGGAAAAAATGGGTCAAGGTCACAGTGGTGGGTACATCTCAGGAGAGATCTGCAGCCCTGCTTCTGGGCCTCCCTCAACCAGGTTACACCGGGAAGGAATCGGGGGTCAGGAGACATTCCCAGCCACTTACCTATGAAAACACGAGCTCAGAGCACCTTCGCCCCTCTGAAGAAGGCCGCAGGTGGAGAGGGGTTTGGGAAAAGCTGCAGGGCGGGTGAAAAAGGATTTCCGGCCCCCTCTTGGCCAGACCCAAGGGCTGAAACGGAGCCTGGAAGCTTGGGAGGGACGTGGGTCTACAGGGGTGTTCTGTGGGAGGTTACAAAGGAACAGGGACTGTCCCTTTCTCCTTTGCCCCCAAAAGGCAGTCTAGCTGCACAGAACCGAATTGTGTGGTTTCCTTTTGTTCTGGCTCAAGTTAACGGATCTCTCCCTACCTATAAAAACTTGTAAGAAAAACCGCCTGCAGAGAAAGGACACATCCCGGAGGAGCTCTGAGCAGACTCCAGGCTGCTCTTCCACTCACCTTGGCCTCTTCATTCACGTCCCAGGTGAAGGAAACAGCATTGTATGCGATCTCCTCAATGTTGCCGATCGTATTGAAGCTCTCCTTGTAATCCGCTGTCACGAGAAGAGAGAAAGTGGCTTTAGGAATCAGAGCTACTCAGTGGCATGCACAGGACTGTCACTTCTCCAGTGGGGAAACCGAGACTTGGTCTCTTCTTCTGGCTGTTTCTATGGCAACAGTGAAGATTTATGCTTGCTGATATTCTTTCGCTCATATTAGTGAGAATGTAAACACGTTCCTCTATTAAAAGACTAAATCTAGGCGAAGCGATGTTCCTGACTTGTTCACTAGCTTCATTTTTTATTAGGTTTATAAAATTATGCTTTTCCTCCCGAGTCCCTTGTCACCTACCCGTCCCTCCTCCTACTCACATTCCTGCCACTTAAGTTGGCTGGAAGTGCCAGAGTGTTCCACAGGGATTGTTTCGTAGAACCGAACATTCTGTGTATCAGCCACACAGTGTCATCGGGACTTCAGAGGAGAAATTCCAGGAGAGTGCTGGGAAACTTTTTTTTTTTACTTCTTTTGGACTTGGGTACGGAAAGTTGACGTAATCATACTCAGCTCACTATCACCCCCCGTCTATTCAAGGCCCTCGATTCTTTTACTTACATAGTATTATTTATTGCTTTTTACCCCCATTACCCACCCCACAAACACGATAGCTATTAATGTGTTTCCTATGTATTCTTTTCTTTTTTTTTATTTCTTTTTTATTTTTTAGACACAGAGAGAGAGATGGAAACATTGATGTGAGGGACAAACATTGATCGGTCGCCTCCTGCACGTGCTCTCTCTGAAATCAATAAAAAAGAAAAAAAAAGATTTTCCCTCTTGGGTGGACACAAGGCACTTAGGAAGATCAGGCAATTACCTATATGGTGAGACTTGAGTGCCACCTGCTCCAAGAAGTCTGCGTGTTCTCAAGCCTGCAGTCCCACTCTAAAACACTCATTCCTTTGGTAAGGGCACTGTCAGCTCCTGACATTAAAATGCCAACACTCTTCTGCCACAAACTGAGAAGTCACAGAGTGTGGAGGCTGGGCCAAGCCTTTACCCACGTTTCCTCCCCTAATCCTCCCAGCCACTCCGTGCAGTGGGTATTAGCATCTCCCTCCTACAGAGACACTGCTGCTTGTAGAAAACCACGTGGCTGGGAACAGGCCAACCTGGGATTTGAATCCGGGTCTGCTAGGTGCCAGAGGCCAAACTTTTAACCACTGCCTATATTTATCTTGCAAATCAAACAATAAATTGTCACCAGATATTAACACTTTGCAGAGAAAAATCACAGCACATCCTACACGGCAACTAGGTGGTAGAGCAGTACTGAGGAAGGTTCGATGAGGCAGAGAGGAGGCATTTTTGGACAACTGCAAATTCCTTGACCAAGGTGGACCAGGTTGGGGTGCTGCGCGGGAGAGAAGCGGAGAAAGCACCTCCGCGTCCTGTAAGCAACACGAAGACTGAAAGGAGGTTGAAAGCTAGCCCCCCCGGCAAACACGGGGGGTGCGGGAAGAAGACAAGCTTTACAGCGTTTCAGCAAAGGGCCGCCGGGCGCGGGCGACTGGGCAATGCTCTCCTGTATGCTACGCTCCACAGAGAAATTATGGGATTGGATTCCATAATTTTAACTGTTATGGGCAGCATGGTACTAAATCACGTTGCTATCTTTTCTTTCTTTTTTGCATGTGATGATCAGTGGTGTAAGGGTGATTCTGGAATGCCGTCAAAGGAATTTTTAATTCTTCCCCCTTAATTAAATTTCACATGCTTGGTAAATTATAACTACCCCTTTTAATTATTTTTGTATATATTGTTGGAGATTAAAAAGAGTGGTATAATTAATATAAAAATTGCTTCTCTTCTGAGAGGTGTGGATTCTGTCTGAACTAGTGAAATAATGAACCTGGAATGCTGAAAACAGCTCAGGGCACTCCTGCCAATTCAGTGCACACACTGCGGCCTAAGATTTTTTATTAAAGCCAAGAACTTGGGGTAGTTTATATATTTAAGAGCAGGATATACAAGGAATCCATTTAGGGCGGCCCCTGAAGCACAGGAAGAAAGGACAGGACACTGTGGTGAAGACACACAGACGTGAATTTAATTCCCACCCAGCTCTCACCAAGCCCTGCAACCTTCAGTGAGTTACGGAACCCCCCTGAACTTGTATTTCCTCATCGACAAAAGAGAGACAGGATCTCAGGCCAAAGACACTGCCAGTACCACACGGGTCCCATTCCACCTGACCTCAGACATTTGCTCTCCTCTGTCCGTAAAAGTCAAATAGGATCAACTCCAACTCAGGAAACAGTCGAGGGTCATTCCAGGAGGGTTCACTCTTACTCGAAATAGGTAGAATAAATAAACCTTAGTCCAAGTAGGTTCCAAAACGTTTTACTGTTTTTCAAAATCAAAAAAGCAGCTCCTTAAAACCTGAATGACTCATGAGAACTCTAATGAGTTACTTCCTTTGTGGTGCTTTTCTCCCAAGGCAGAGGTAAAGTGTGTTTCCTTAAGTGTGCTGACACTTGAGCTGAGGTTTAGAGGCATTAAATGTATTTCCATCATTTGGTCCTGGCCCCTGAGCGAATAATAGGAATAGCGCCCGTTTTTAGGAGCCGAGTGTGTGCTAAGTATATATACTTCACAAACATTATCTTGGACAATTCTGATCGGTAGCTTTTAAATTAGTCCTACTTTGTGGAATTGGAAACATTTTAAGTATCTTCCCTCCCTAACAGACACTTAGTTTTAAGGGGCTAACCGGGAGTGGAGCCCAAGACGTTCTGTCCACACACAAAGCCAGAGCCCTTTGGTACCCGTGATAAACAACCTTACAAATGAGCACTTTTCCATTTACAACCTGGAACACTGATGGCTGAAATGATGAAGACATAACCTGTGACTCATAAAGGTGACTGGAAAAAGAGTGACTCTTTGATATTTAAAGTAGGAATTAAAAATCTTATTACTATTTACTCTCCATGGTATATTATCATATCCTCACAGAGATCATTAAGATGGAACCATTCTTGGAATTTTCCCTTTAGGCTAAACCTAATATTTTATTTGGATTTGATGTGCATTTCTGTTTCTAGAGGAGTTGTATGGGCCAATGTTACCTCAGTTGCATCAACCATAATTTTAGAGTAAGAAAAGCATTTTACATTGTGACCCAGTACTGTGTTCCATGTATGTTCGTATTTTTATTCCATTTGATTTCATTTTTTTAAGAAAACTGATGCTGACGTATAAACTGTATTTCAAACTCACAAAAGGTCATATCATATATGCAGGCACATAAGCACACGTGCTTGTATATCTCTATGTGCACCGTGGCTTCTAGCTCTGAATTGAAATCAACTTGGATGGGCTTAAAATTAAGCTCTTTCCATTCATTTATGTTACTCATTGAGATTTAACTTCATCCTAACTATTTTGTCTCTTAAAAATTTTTGCCTGGTACTTTCTGACAGTTTGCTGAGTAAAGGAAGACATGGATAGTGCTTTGGTAAATAATTTACTCTTGCACACTGCATAAACTATCATGTTCCATTTCTGTTTTCCATTCTTCATTTCGTTACTTAATATAGTAACACGCTCAGGGATAGGTGTGGGGACAGGAAGTTACAGGCACATCGGAATAGAAGTTACTGCCCAAAGTGGCTAATCAGCCGTCATCATCCCAGCCCTACAAGCCAGGCTCCCTCCCTCTAGCACAACAGTCCCCGACCTCTTCCCACCCGAAAGGACATTTCCAGAAACTATAATACCCCCCAGTTAAGCCAGCACTAATTTATAAAAGAAAACTGAATTCTTTCTCAAACGATGGCATTTTATTAGTAAGAGTCTTGAAAATTGCCATTCTATCATGACCTTCACTGGTCTCCCGAAGACCAATTCTAGTGTCTAGCAGGCCCCATGTGTCAGAAATAATTTTCAAACACATGCAGCTGTACTTCTGAGACGCAGATTGAAGAGATTTAAACAAAAGAAATGGCTTTTAGGCGATTGGTGGTACAGGACACAGACACACTACAAGAACTGCAAATCCTCGCATGGATCATCTTGCGCTAAACGTGAACCGCAGACCCAGTCCCTTCAGCTGCTCAGGTTCCATTCAGATCAACGTCCATTTCTCAGCTCCCCGATTACCTCGGCGGCGGTCACACGCGGGCCCGGTGACAGACACCGGAGGGGAGCGTGCTCCGTGCGCGATGGGAGCCTGCACTGGCCACTCGTTTGTTACGTGGGTGACTTTTGCAATCACTGCTGCTTGAATTACTCACACTGCGATTCCTGTCTCTTTTCCATCCTTTACTAGAGGATGCAGATATTATTTCAAAACTGAAATTCTAGTTCTCTGAGGCAGATTTCTTCCAGAAGGTAGCTGTCCACAGGAGGAAGCCGCTGCTGCTGTCCCGACTTCCCTTTGTAACGCTGACTGCCCGCGGCCTCTGGGGCGTGGGTGCGAGTTCAATGCAGGCAGCAGCCCCCCGGGAAAAGCTACAGGGCCTCTCCAGGCTGGTTCCCTTCCCCATCCGAGAAAGGAGCTGAGAAAGGAGCTGACACCGGCACCCAGCTCACAGGATCGCCGCCCCCGAGGCCGCGCACTCACTGAGCGCTCGGTTCCTCCAACACTTGTCTTTCCAAGAGCAGAAAAACCGGTGGCGGCTCCGCATGCCTGGAGTCTGTTCAAAGAGCTCTTTTCAGATTAGCTTCACCTTATTTTGGCTTCTGCACCTCAAAGAGCTTAATTTAATTTTGGAAAAAACCTTTCTCTTGGCAAGTTTGGGGTTTTGTAAACAAAAAAGAAAAACTTGAGGTTCGCTGATTTTAACACTTGGGAGTGTTGCAGAGATGGAAAGCGTGTTTCTGCTGAAAGGTGCGGTGGGGAGAGGCTTCCAGGAGATGCTGGAGGGGGGCCGAGACCACCAGCTCAGCCGCTCTGTTCAGTAAACAGATGAATCTCCTGAAACTATCAGGCTGTATACACTCCAGGTACTTTTTTGTAATTTTTTAAGCCAACCAAATAATACTAAAAAACGTGACACTGTCAGATGATCTGTTGTTTCATTAAACGAATCTTTGGAAAAAGAGGGTAATTAGGCTCCAAGCAAAACACATGAAATCAAATAAAAGCCTAGATTATGTGTTTGAGATGAAAGCATGATCTCATATAGCTAAAGATAGGAAAAGTCCCTCCGATTAGGGGAAAAACAATGTGTTGCCCAGTAAATGTGAAAAATGAGACGGAAGAGAGGAATTTAAAAACTTACAGTATTAAATACAGTGGATCTATGAAGTGGTTTTAGGGTGTGTGTGTGTGTGTGTGTCTGTGTGTGTGTGAATTTAGAAAGCTCATAATCTAAACCAGTATCTCTAGGGGACCTTTTCACCCTATCATGAAAACAGATTCTCTGGAAAATCTGGTGAGGGGCAAAACAGACCTATAGTTTTAGCATTCAGAAATTTTAATAAAAAATAGCTTACACTGGATTGAGAAAGGAGTAGTAGTTTAGGGCATGGGGTAGGAAGGGGGCTCCTCTCTTAAGAAAATAGAATGGAAGGAAAGAGGAAGACCAGGGTAGCTTGAAAGGAAGTCTGCAAAGATCAGGACCTGGACAGATGGGCTGTCCTGGACCCTTCCTGGGGAGTCTAGAAAATTCTACCAGAATGCCCAGATCACCCCAGGCACACCTGCGGAGGAGGAAGTGATTCTCCCCAAAGGGAGAATAAGCTTCTAGGACTCACACAGGAACATGCACGTAATCACTGGAAACCCACAATGGCTCACATACTGAAAATGAATATATTCTGCCTGACCTAAGATTAAACTTTAAAGAATAGTTGCATTTTATGTTTTAAAATATATAACCTTAATAGTCTGCCATACTTCTATCACATAAATGTTTTCTAACCAAAGTTGAAGATGAAAAGGAATACTCTTTAACTATGGCTACAGCACCTGTCTATAAAACACAGGGCGCCTCACACTGCGAGCTTGTGCTCACAGTTAGAGCAAGGACAGACAGCAGGACCCTGGGGCCGCACAGTGCCTGCCACACACCAGCTCACCCTCCTGGGGAGAAAGCAGGGACCAAGGTCATTGCTCTAACTTAGCTCTCATTCTGCCAGGACTCTCACCAGCCCTGAGGGTTTGGTGGTGGTGGTTGTTTTAAGTTGGGAGCTCTCAAGGGTTTTGTTTTGAATCAAATTTACTTTTCATATCTATTTGGAAATAGTCTAGGAAAACATCAAAAATCAAAATTCCATTTACTTGAGTTCTTTGTAAAAGAAGGTAGATGACATTTACCCAACTGCAGGGAGAGAGCAGATCTGCATAATCCTGGGGGAGGAGAGCCCTCCAGGGAACAGAACTAAATGGCTGGGAGGGAAATCCTAGTGAAGAGAGGTGAGTTGCAGGGTACTTTTGTCTCTAAAGCCTGTTTGGGCCATGAATTCACGCTGACTACCTGGAGACCTGACTTTCTGAAAGGTGGCAGCTGCCTCCCCTGAGCCCCCTCCCAACTTTCTGCACAGCTCTGAGGAGCCCAGCCCAGGTTTGGTTATGAAAACTGCAAGAAGGCACACTGTTAGGGCCCCACCAACGCCAGCCTCCTCTGGAAAACCCAAAGGGGGGGGGGGGGGGAGCATTACTTAATTTTAATCACAATTTGTATTCGAAAGTGGAGTATGACTCCAGACTGAAGAGAGCTCCTACCTCTGGATAGATCCACCAGCTGAATAATTCACAGTGGTCAGTGAAATTCTGTATTTGAGAGTCTCCTCACAGGCTTCTCTTTCAACCCTCAGAGAAAACTATCCAGAACTAAACTCAAAGAAATGTTTTGATTGAACTGGAAGTTAAGTTTTCATGGAAAGCTTTACCTTAATATAAAATTACTATCAGCAGGGCACAATTTAAACACTGACTCTTAAGAAATAGATCTGTAAGAGGGCACAGATGAAAATCCTATAATCACATGTTAATAACCAAAGATGTGCTGTAATTGCCTGCTAATTACCATGAAAAATTACAGGATTAATTTTAACAATGAAACTAATACATTCTGATGTGTGATAATCTCCTACAGAGAAAGACTACTGTGAACCAAAATTAAGGACTAGCAATCAAGTCTACTCAAACAGTGGGTAATAAATAGCAAACAGTTGATTTCACAATTAACTACAAAACTATATCAATAATGGCTACATTGCATATGACTGTCAAGTAATGATGCTTATTTGTATGTTTGTCGCATCCGTCTGATTACATTACAATCCACACCACCCACTGGGAAGATGTAAACCCCCAATGTTCATTCTTTTGAACTTCTACATTGTAAAGCAGTAAGGTAATTCTTAATTGTGTTCAGGAGAAAGTCTAGGTGAATGTGCTTTAATTTACCTGTTATGGCTTCTGGATCTCCTTCCACAAAATTAATGTTAGTTGTTGAACGTCTAATTTTCCTTCTCTGCTTGAAAGGGAGCAAATAGCAAAATGTGCCTTCCCCAGAAGTGGTTTTGGAATTACCCACTGTTTGAGTAGACTTGATTGGTAGTCCAGTTCATTTTGTGACTTGTCCCAAATATTTTTCCAATGGCTCACACTGTGCTAAACTGGATCACTCCACTATGCAGATAAGTCCCAGAGAAATGCTACTGTGCAATATGTGTTAGACTTTTTTTTTAATCTAGTAGATAATGAATTATATGAGATTTTTGCAGATTCCCTCATCCTGTCTGAGTAGATGTTAGGTTGAGGATAGGGGTGGAGATTGTGGTCAAAAAATCAAAAATTGATTTTCCTTTTGAAACTAAGGGGCTGACTTAATGCCTTGGTCTCAGGTTCAAAGCAAGGAGCCCAAGTAGCCATGAAGCTACGTAGTAAAAATCACAGATCTGCGTGTGCACGTGTATGCGCATGTGTGTGTCTATGTGTGTGTGGGAAGGATTATATGAGAGAAAAATCTGAAGGCAGGCAGGAGCTGATAAAGAAGAGAGATAAGATTTGAAGACCTATGAGAGCTGAGAAATCATTCTGCTCTAAGAAAAGTAAACCTTGTAATAATATCAAAACTGAACCAACAGGTATTCCAATAAAATGCTTTTATTATTTGCCTTATTTGGACCTAGTCCACATTTCTATTTAATTGCTCCTCTCATTTTCTTGGATAATAATTATAAGGCTAACTTTTCAAATAAAATAAAATTGTTCCTCTGCTTTCTGCAGATTGGCTACCAAGCAGGTTAAGGCAAGTGTCTCCAAACCCTTGTCCAAGTCAGTCTGTCTTGGAGGTTCAGTGTATGACCTGGGGGAGCAAGACTGTTCTTATCTCAGCTCTTACACTAATTAATGGGGACAAGTCTCTTGGGATGGTGAGTCAGTGAACCTCTCTAGGCTCAGTTTCCTTGTTTATTAGATAAAGATTTTGGACTAGTTAATAGAAGATATATGTGTGTAGGTGTGCACGCTTGTGAGTATGTGTGTGGTATGAATTAAATAGTGGTGTAAACATTTTGCAGGATAAACCAGTAATTAGCTTCAATACGTTCTACAGTGAGTCTGTAACCCTAACCTAGTCACTAACCTCTCTACCATTGGTCAATGGGTTCTAGCAACATAAGACAGAAAGAAGGTCTGAAAATTCCACTATTGCAGTGTGCAACACATCAAAGCAAGCCTCCTTCTAATGGCTCAGTAACACTTTCTGATACGACTTGACGGAAACCTTCACTTTCTCTGCACTCACTGCAACTGCAGCCTCTTGATCTGCAAGACGGAGTAATAAAGCCTAAAACGAGAAGTTACTTGAGCTTGTGGAAACAGCATATAAAGTGTTAAAAATTACTTAGAAACACATATATTATTGCCTGTGCTTTTAAGTAATTTCTAGAAACTTTAAGATCCAATCCTGACTTCCCCTGCTGTGCTGTGTCCCAGAGGTTGAGTTCTGAGACTGCATTTGTTAAGGTCATGTGCCCAATGGCTTCCAGGGAAATTTGGTCGATGGGAAGCACATGTGGGGGATTCGGAGGCAGGGAGAACCCAGGGCACTCCTTTGCCTCCCTGCTCTGGGCATTGAGAGGGGTCTCTGGCAGAAATCCCTGTGGTTCTGCCTCCTTTTGGAAAGTGGTCCCTCTGTGGTAACAGCTCCTGCTGAGCAGCCACCCTGGTTACAGCTCTTTCTGGGCGGCTCCTCCCACACCCACCACCTTTTCTTTTCGACCCGCCAGCCCCACAGGGGAGTAGCAGCAGGTTCCTGCAGCCGCTCTTCCCTGTATTGCCTCCTGGCACCTTCAGCTCTTCCCACCTCTGCAGCGAATTCCCTCCACGGCACCACTTGGCACGGGCTCTGCTTCCCTGACTGGACCCTGCGACGCGTGGGGGGGACCACAGGTCTCTGGAGAGCACTGTGTTTAGGAGTCTACAGACTCCAGAAAATGTACTTGGCAGATTCATGACTTCTTTACTGCCAGGGAAGGACTCGCTAAGGTTTTATTTGCCTGCCCACGCAGTACTATTTGCACGCGTGTTAGAGGGAAGGAGCACTGGATGGAGAATTAGAGAAGGAGAGCTCACTATCCAGTCATGTGACCTCCACCAGTACCTTAGAGACAACCAAGCCTGGCCATTCGTGTCACAGAGGGATCAGAGTTCACCTGACCTGCTTGGCTGCCCATTAGGCTCAAACACAGAAGGGCATGAAAATATATTTTAGAAACTGACATGGTCCTTGAAAATCTAAATTATTACTATTATTGATGGGACACAGTCGGCTTTCATAGAACAAGAAGTGCTTTGCACTCAGCCCAATTTTGATTTCTCAGCCTGATTTGCACTAAATGTACCAACAAAGGAAAAGTGCACAGTCTCGTGCCTGGCACATCACGAGAGCCATGCGGGCCCCGGCTGTGACTTCTGTGCTGGGCCCTCCTCTACATCATGACGACTTGTCAGTTCACCAAGGACCATGCCGGGAGGCCCAGGCCAACTCACCGATGTCGAGGACCCTCTGCTTGGCCGTGTGCTGCCGGGAGTGCCAGTACTTCCAGTACTTCAGCTGCTCGTCTCGGTTTTTGTCTTCACTGAAGACCACCATCACCACGCTCTGCGGAGGGGGAAAAGGGACTTACTTGCTGTTCAGCACCTCGGCTGCTTTGCACGGTCTCCAGCTCAGAAAGCGTTTCTCTAATGTTGCTTTTCTGGCTTTACAGAAGCCCAGGCAAGCTTGGTTACATGGTTGTTTTGTTCTAAAATGACTCTACTTTGAAAATGATTGGAAATGAGAACAGCACATAGGAAAAAAGAATCCTACATCATTTTTACCCTGAGTCATAAACAACCAGATTAACCAATTACCAGCAAATCTATTATTTTGTGAGGTGAGTAGGAATACTAACAAAATTTTTTTTCTTGTACTGAAAACAAGCATATTTTTGAAATTCCTTATCTGTAAGCATAACATCTGGCACCATTTGTAAAGGAAGAAGTATCTGTTTCTGGCCTAATTAAGTGCCAGAGGCTGAAATACTGGACTAAGGAGAGAGGTGCTAAGGGAATGAGAAGAACACTGAAAGGTGAGTTCATATTGATGCATACAGAGGTAAGCAGCAGATATTTCATAGACCAAAAGATACCCGGTCAACTATGCTGTTTATTTCAATATAATGTGGCGTACTTTAAAAATGAGTTTGAGAAACTAGTAAGAATCCCAAAACCCCTTTTGGTTCTCAATTATAAACAGCCTCGTTAAGCTAAATACACATAAATTCACTGTCATTTAGACGATAAAGAAGGTACCAAAAACAAATAAACAAGCCCAAAGCACCCCTAAATGACAGTATCAGGGATGTGCTCTCCCCCGTCACTCCACATCCAACATACTTCCTAGACATTTTCCTACGAGTTCAGAAGACTATTTCATTGACTTAGATTCCGTCATAATTTCTCCTTTGTAGCATTTTAACACTTGTAGTCGTTTACTTAATTATTTACAATGATTCAGCCGATGGAAGCCAATGCCTTCCCATTGACTTCAAACTCAACGAGGCCAGGAGCAGTGTCCCCCGCCACAGTGGCCCTCGTGCTTTCTCTTCCACCTCATTTGGTACCTTGGAGGGGAACCTGGGGTGATGGGGGTAAACTCGGGCGTCCTGTGCTCCAGGCACACACCACAGCAAACCTCTCCTAGCCTGCTGAAGAGCCTAGGAAGAGGCACCTATGGGTAAAACAAGGTGGGGTAGGCACCATGCACCCAGCAGCAAAAACCGTCTTACAACGGGACAGGAAAGTCCTTCGGCCTCTGTTCAGAGCCCTGCTGCGATTTTCCTTTTCAGTAGAGGGGGATTACTGGCTCCCTCCCTTGTTGGCAGAAGTGAGAATGCCAGATGCTGGCAGGCATCCAGGGCACTTTCATTTCCCACAAATGGACTAACACTCATGAACGTGAAAACTCCTCCAAGTCACTCCTGGTAGGGATCGTCTCATGCCTCGCCCCTTGGCTCCTGAGTAAGCACTGGGCTGCAGAAGGCTTTTCAACAAAGTTGGAAAGGGTCCGGGGACACAGATGAATTGTACTCTCCTTTACAGAGAAGAAAGCAGTCGCAAATAAGTGGGAATATGTTCTGGCTTACAACTACTTACTTGAAAAATTAAAATCAATTGATTGAAAACAATAACAGCAGCTAGTAGCACACGGGCAATGAATGAAGCTGGAAAAATTCCTTGGGTAAGTCAGAAAGCATGTTCCAACCAGGTCCCTTCCCCGGGGTTTATTGGTTACTGATTAAAATGATAAACTACAAGCCAATAAGTTCTCTTGCCCCAACTCTCTGACATTTGTTCTCGAATTATTTATTTTGGAATTTTTTCCACGCCCTCCCCACAAGGCTACGAGGTAGCAATTGCATTCATCTGATCCCTCTGATTTACTGAAGACATGGGGCCCATACCCTGACTTTGCTGATGGGGTGTCGGAAGCATTTGTTGTCTCCAGTCTCACTGAGCGTTATGGCATAAAACTGTCCCTTGTTGAGGTAGGTCATGGGGCCCTCCCCCTGCTTCTGACGGAGAGATTTGGTGGCTTCCAGGGTGTACTGAAACGTGCCACTGTGAAGAGAAAACAAACAGTGGTCAGATTCACTCACTGGGACATTACTCCCTTCCTGATCAATTTCGCATCGAATACCATTTCGTATGAATATTAACCAATATTTACTCTATGTCAGAGACAAAACACAGCATATGGCAAAAGAGATGAGACCAGACCAAAGGTCACTGCTAGGACAATGTATGTAACATTCCCAGTAGTGGCCCATAAACCAGATGGTTTAGAGGGGACGAAAGTCCAGGACGCACCGGGCCAGAGGCGCGAGGCCCTGCCAGGAGAGCCTCTGTTAGGTCTTGGTTGGCAATAGGCAATGCCTGAAGCTGAAGAAGTTATAGAATTTGCCACTTTTATCCTAGCAGCAAACCAAATGTGTGAATGCTTTTGTTCAATTCATGTATACAGGGTGTCCCAAAAAATGTACACACACTGAATAATTATTAATTCCAATGGGTTAAATCTGAAAAGAAAGAAACATTGGAGTTAATAATTATTCAAAGTGTGTATACATTTTTTGGGATACCCTATATATAACCTCACCTTCATTTTGTCTAACCAAGATATTGCAAATCTATTCTACTTTTTAAAACTTCAAAATGTGAAAATCCAAATCTCAAACATTCATTACTAAAAATCTAGTTCCATAACAGGGAGTATTTTTTTATTTTGTGTTTTGTATTTTAAGCCTGCCAAAGGACTTGTGAGAGGGTTGCTGCTCTAAATCGGTTGTGCAAACAATCATCCATGGACAGGTCCAGCTCACTGCCTATTTTTGCCAATAAAGTTTTATTGTGTATGGCTACTTGTCTATGGCTATTTTCACACTGCGTAACAGAATTGACTGGTTGTGACTGCAGAGCCCACCAAATCTAAAATATTTACTATACAGCCCATTACAGAAAAAGTTTGTAAATTCTTGCTCTAAATGATTTCCCTAATATTTTAAAAATATAATTTAACTTAAAAAACAAACACTCATTTCCCCAACTCTGAAGAAAATATCAATTGTTTAAAATGAGCAGTAGCAGGTATGAATCATACTCTTTTTAAACATGCTCATTCAGGAATATTTATTTCTGCTACACTGCAGGATGGCACAAAGTGATGATCCAGTAATGAAAACTGAATGTATTTTCTGACTCATCAGAATCTCTTCATTAAGTCTACATATTTTTTAGCTCTTAAAATGGCCTACTTACAGGATTATGGGGGACTCTTGCTTTCTATGTTTAATATTTTTGCAATGTTTGACTTTTTTAAACTTTTATAATGAGAAAAAAATTTGAAGGACAGAATAATATTCCTCTTACATGATAAAAATCTTAGGCTTAAGCTGATCAACTAAACAAATTTCAAAATATGTGTCTTAGAACAAGGTGGGAAATAAATCATTCAAGACAGAATCAATTCCACTGTCATTTTTTCTGGAAAAAGCAATTTCAATATAGTCACTGAATCATAAAATTTGAGACCTGGACAGGATATTAAGAATTGCCTAGACCAGTAGCTTGCAACTTGTCTAGGGTGCAGACTGCTTAAAAAACAAGAAGCTGTGAACCCTCTTCCCAGAAAAAAGCAAATATGAACATAAATGGTTTTGAATATAATTGCAGGGGGTTTGTGTCCCCCAAGCCTATTCATAACAAAGGATAGGAACCACCTTCCTCATTCCACAGCTGAGCAGGAGCTGAGAAACTTGCTTGCTACACCAGACAATGACAGCCACAGAAATAAACCAGGTCAAGGGACTAGTAGGTCAACGCTTCAGTGCTCTTCTCACTGACCCGACAGCTGATTACATCGTAAACTGAATTTATAACATGCAAATTATATATGTATTTCCACATCTTAAAAGGCGATTTAGAACTCTAGTCTTCCCTCCCCTTCCTTCCCCACTCCACCAAATCCTGACTAGGATGACCTGGGGAGGTAATGGGGAGCCTAATATTGGAGCAAGAGCCTGAAGGACCAGGAGGATGTCAAGTGGAAACAGAAACTAGAAGAGGGCAACATATGTAAAAGCAGAGGGGTAAGAAATACAGTGAGAAACAAAGAATTTGTGTTTAACTCTATCTGAAATGGTGAAATCACTGGTATGTTTTGTAAATGTGAGAGATGAATTCATTTCTTGCCATTCTCTCCTGTCTCTCATGATCGCAACCAAGGTCTTTGAACATCTGGCCCCTAGAATATTCTCAATTCTCCTTTTTTTTCTGGTAAACTCCTGATGCTAATGCTTCAAGATCCAACTCTAATCCCACTTCCTGTGACTCTTTGCCTCCCATCCCAAGCCCCACCCATGCACTCCCCCACATACTATAGGTCCTCTCAGCTTTCTGTTTATATATCTCTATAGCAGGATTCATCACTTAGCAAATGTATTGCAATTTGTCCATCACCAATTTTGTCTCCTCCAAAAGTCAAAGGGTCTTTTGTAAGGAGAGGTTACATCTTATCCCTAATCCCTATCGCATTGCTGGTACACGGGAGGCACTGGAGTGTGGACTGGCTGGTAGATACATACAAAGTAGAACAAAGGGGGAAAGCAAGTGTTGTCAGGGACATCAGTTATATTGCAATAGTTCAGGAGAAAATGAACAAGATTGTGTTGGAAGGGGCAGGACAGGTAGAATTGAACATTCAGCACTGGGCAAGGGCTGTGAAAGTGCTGCAGGGGGGCAGGCAGACCCTCACACCTCCAGAGTAGAGGCCTGGAGGATGGTTACATCATTAGCCACAACAGGAAATAAAAGCAGAAGACCAGATGAAAAGAAGTGAAGGAAGGAGAGAAGAGAGAAAGGACAGAGTTCCATTATGCACATGCTGGCTTGGAGACACACAAGTCCAGAGGAATACCTAAGAAAGGATATCTAGTCAACAGAAGGACACAGCCAAGGTAGAGGCCTCAGAAAACTGATCAAGCCAGCCCGGCCGGGTGTGGCTCAGCAGTTGAGCGTAGACCTAGGATCCAGGCAATCGGAGTTCAATTCCCAGTCGGGGCACATGCCCGGGTTGCAGGCTCGATCCCCAATGACTCTCTCATCATTGATGTTTCTGTCTCTCTCTCTCCCTCTCCTTTCCTCTCTCTGAAATCAATAAAGATATATTTAAAAAAAAAAAAAAAAAATTTGATCAAGCCTGGACATAGTCATTCAGAAGTCATTTGTATAGAGAAAAGAATTGAGCACAAAGGAAATCAGAGTGTTCAACAAAAGTATACAGAGAAAAAAGGTTAAAAAGTATAACTTGGGGGTACACTGAAAGGCTCATCAGTTCATCAGTTTCAAGGGGCAGCTCCCGGTAACCTACCTTGATGTCTGGTCATACATGTATTCCTCAGCCCCGACTGAAGCACTCCGAAATTTCTACAAAATTTCAAAGTTATAGAAATTAAAACAAAGAAGTGAGAGTCATTATTACAAATAAAAAAAATGTGATAAATGTATTCAGTCTGTTTTATCCTCACTTTAAAAAGGAAAATTATATATTTTTTGGTATTACATTTTTAACTACAGTGAAAATAGCTACCACTTGTGCACAGATTCACATTTCGCCTGCACAGTGGAAACTACACTCAACAAAAAGCAGTTGTACTTCGTGTATTACTCGCATGTCTGCAGGTGTTCTGAAAGTGTTTGCAGGTGCTGGAAACTGTTTCCTCAAACAGATAAAATATCTCTTCCATTTTCTATTCTTTCTAGTGCTCATTCCAAGGCACAGATTGTGAGTTACTGGAACACTAATTCACATTATAGCATGAGAATTATAGTAGAGTGGTTTGGAGCATAGTGTCCAGAGCGAGACTATCTAGGGTCAAGTTCTAGCTCTTTTGCCTGCTATCTATGTAAACTGAGGCAAGTGCCATATTTTCTCCATCTGTATAATGCCTACTTACAGTAGTTAAAAGGATTAAATGTGCAAATGAAGTATCAAGAACAGTGCCTGGTACACAGTAAGAATTATACAGTGGAACCTCGGTTCTCAAACTTAATTCATTCCAGAAGGCTGTTTGAGAAGCAATTTGTTTGAAAACCAAATCATTTTTCCCATTAGAAATAATGTAAATTGAATTAATTCATTCCAGACCCCCAAATGGTTCCCTGTTTTAACCTTTCCTATATAAAGTACATGTCTAATGTACTGTTTAATCTATAAACAAACACTTCTTTTCTTAAATTTATCGAACCACCCCCTACTAGCCTTAAACGAGTCACTTTCAGCACACATTCCAGGGGTGACTTTCAGGAGGTCAGCATGTGGCATCTTGGTTTTCCACATGTCACTGCTTCCCAAATGCTGTCCGGCTAACTGCTTTATCCAAATCAACAACAGTCTGCACTCTTCAGTTGCCTGTGACCATTGTTTCTTTCATACCCTTAGCAACATTAGCATTCTTGATGGCTGCTTTACAGTTTAAAATTGTGTTAACCGTCCATTTCATCAGCAACAACAACAAAAACCACAAAAATATTCACAGCACAATTTCCTGAGATGTTAACAACATAAGGTTTAGCGGTAAACTGACTTGCATTCTCTTCTTTGTTTGTGGCCAGGTAGAGAGCTGCAGTTTTGTTCCACAATCAAGACATTTTTCCATGAACAACTTGGTCAAAACCAAATTGTTCGAGATGGGAGATGTTCAAGAACCGAGGTCTGAATGTCTATGTGTATTAAGTTCTATTACACAGTAATAGCTTGCCATATTCAAGCCCTTCTCTAAGATATGCATTATCACCATATTGTAAGAGAAAGTTTTGGGGGAAACTCTAAGCGTTAGTATTACATGTAAAGAGCTTGAGTCCAGAGACATTCAACTGTTGTATATTTAGACACACACACACACACACACACACACACACACACACACACACACAAAATGAACCAGTCTCTAATAGCAAATGAAACCTGCTCATTCAATAAGGGTCCTAGGCATTTTAATAGTATCCCTAAAAGAAGTACTAGATTTTGGACAGATTTTCCTTAGTGAAATTTACTTGGTGAAGTTACTGAGCTCACCTAATTTCCTAACTTGTTGGCAATGCCACAGCTAAAGATCACAAAAGAACATTCCATTTAACTCACATCAGATTGAAATACAACAAGCAATGTAAACACCGATTTCCAAGACTAGGAGAGCAGCTAAAATATCCCACGTATTCCAAATTCAGTGGGAATAATCTTCACATTTAGTTTCTGGTAAGTTATTTTCTCATGCACCTAAAATAAAACCTCAAATACAAAGCTTCCTTTCACGAGCCTCTTTATCTACAACACAAACACAACTGATAACACATCCCCCAAATAGCATGATGGTTCCGTTGACATTGGACCACGTCCACGGGCTCTTCTGTGACTAATGGAATATTTCTACACCATGTAAGAAAAACATCAGTGGCAACCCTTCAGTGAAAAAGCATGTACTTCATATTCCCAGGTGGAGTAATCTGTTTTTCCTAAGGAAGCAGCCCTGGCTGCTTAAGGACAAATCAAATATTCAATAGGACATTAACTTTAAGACAATTTTTTCCATTATAAGGATATTGAAAGTTTGATTATAAAGCTACCAGGACTCAAGAAATAGAATGGCTCTTAAGGGTGGGAAGTTTACCAAGTCTCACTCTACTCATTCCCTGATTTCACAAAATACACAGCAGGCACTCAGGAAAGGTCGGTGCCAGGAATGGAAGGGCTGCTGGTGCAACTTGTCTACCCTGACTTTCTACCAACCCTGCAGAGAGCTAGTCCCTTTTGTTCCTCTTCTCCTTGTCTGAAAGATAAAAAATAACTAATGACATAGATAAAGGACACTTACATAAAACACACACACACACAAATTATTTCTCGAGTATTCAGACAGGTTCGTAGAGCGTTATATTGTTAATAAAAAAATTGTGCAGACGACAACTTTAGCTACCATTTGGAAGGTTACAAACTAGAAGAGGTCAAGGTAAAAACTTTAAAAATTAGGAAGTTTCCACACAAAAATCTCTTCATTCCCTACGAATATTTAATTTTAAGGCCAACACTAAAACAAACCAAGGGATCTGTCCTCTAAGCGTCAAACAAATATTCCTCCACACACCTAAACCACCGGTTTATTAAAACCTGTTCATGCCTGGCTGGCGTGGCTCAGCGGTTGAGCATCGCCCTAGGATCCAGGAGCTCAGGGTTCGATTCCCGGTCAGGGCGCATGCCTGGGTTGTGGGCTCGATCCCCAGTTGGGGGCCTGCAGGAGGCAGCCGATCAGTGACTCTCTCATCATTGATGTTTCTCTCTCTCTCCCTTCCTCTCTCTGAAATCAATAAAGATACATATTTTTTGAAAAAATGCCCATAATGAAATATACAAACACATTTTTTAAAACAGCCGCAGACCCACAGTTTCATCCATTCATCCCACTTAAAAAGCACGTTGAGAACAAACGTTTGCCCGGGGCCGTGGGTCAGGTTCTGGCTGCTGCGGGCAGGGCGGGGACTCACCTCGGGCGCCCCGTCCTTGAAGCCCTCGCTGTAGGTGCTGTCCGGGGTGCTGCGCTGGTCGTCCTTGGGGTAGGCGCTGTGGCCGGCCACGGGGGGCGCGCCGTACTGGGCCTGCTCGAAGATGACCACACGCTGCTCCTCGCCCTCGCCCCGGGGGTAGTGCACGGGTGGGGCCATGAAAACCGGCGTGAAGTCTTCGGCTTTCACCACCGTGATCCCTGACACGGGGATGATGGCCGGGCTCTCGGGGACGGTGGTGCTGTACTGTTCCCGTTTTGAGCTCTCCAGCGGGTCTTGGTTTAGGGACAGGTTCACTGGGACAGTCTTGAGGACCTGGACTCGGTTCTCTCCTCCACTCAAAGCGCTCTGGGCTTCACCGGTGCCAAGACAGTTTCTGTGTTTAATTTAAACCCGCCCCACAGTAGGACAGAATTAGAAAAGTCACCATTTTGCAACTCTTGATAAAATAACTGATGCAGACGATAGGGGAAGCGAATGTATAGCAACCAGGGGAAAGGTTGATGGTGAGCTTTACAAGGCGATGCGGTGGATCTTTGCATCACCCCAAGGAGGACAGCCACACGTGTGCCTCACAGGATCATGCAATCGGCCCCACCTAGAAAGTGCTATTACCAAAAAAACCCCCACCTTAAATCTAAGCAAGGCTTTACATCCAACCTCCAGCTCTTGGGAAATCCAGGAGCTGGGAGAAAGACAACTTCACACAGAAGCCGTCAGATAGGCCAGAACGCAGCCCAGCTCACTGACCTGGTTTCTTCAGTAAGCGAGAGGCATGGCAAAGGAAGGGTGCGAGGCCTGTTCTAGACTAAGAGAAATCTGAACAATCTAATAGGATGAGTAGGTCTTGCTTGGATCCTCATCTGAACAAACCTAAGGGGCATTCACGAAGCAATGGGATTTCTGAGGCAGCGACTATGGACTGGGAGTTAGGTGGTATTAAGGAAACGTGTCCATTTAGTTAGGTGTGTTAAGGATTTGAGATTATGTAATAAAATATCCGGGGATTTTTCTAGATGTACAAATCAGAATAGTTAAGGGAAAATGACATGGCTCATTTTAAATACTATTACAATTGAAAAAAAGAAGCGGAGGGAAAGAGAAAAGGTAAGCGAGTGTGGGAATGTTATCACTGCTGAATCTAGAGGGCAGGAGGAGTATTTGGGGAGCATTATACTATCCTCTTTACTTCTGTATATGTTTGTAACTTTCAAAAGAAAACATTTTAAAATATTTTTTTTTTTAAAAAGGCAAGAGGAAAACTCCTCTATGCTAATTTGGGGCAGGGGGTGGGGTAGTTTTCACTTTTCTGTGGGCCAAACTAAAATTCGGAAATTGTAGGAAAAGTAAGAAGTGAGAACTTATCATTAAAATATTTTCTCTACAGTAAGAAATAACATGAGCTCACTCACAGCCTTAGCATTGAATTACGTTCGGGGCTTAAGGAAGTGGTATAACTGGACTTACATAAAACCAGATCTCTCTGATCTTAGACCTGCTGGCTGGTACAAAGAGAAAGGAGAGGGCTTAGGAAATTAATTCTTGCCAGGCTAGGATGAAATATTTTCATTTATACTAAAGGATTCTGGGAGTGAGCAGAAGCAAAGAGGGCCTCGTTAATGGGAGATTGTTGATAGCAAACTGATTTCATTAGCAAAGTCCCTGTGGTTGGTAAAATTTGAGGCCACATCTCATTTATTGATTCTTCTGATTGATATACAGAGAAAACATGTCTTGCATGGAGCCCTGTCTCTCCGATGTCTGCTTTTTTTAAAAAACTAGCATGTTCCGTGCAGGGCTTACCGGCATCTCTCACAGAGAGAAATATTCTAATAAAATCAGTTCTTCCAAGAATTGCACTCTCTTGGCTCCTCTCTACAAAGGAAGCCCATTAGCTTCTGAGCTTGCCTAACTCTGAGGCAGGACTTGGTATTTCAGCTTTGATTTTTCAGATAAAACTTCAAAGTGAAGCTTGAGGAAAGAATGGCTCCCCAAGCACAGCCAACAGAAAAATATCTAAACGTCTCTGAGTCTGCCACAGATCTGTAGGAATCGCTCTAGAAAATAATCCTCTAAAGAATAAAATCGCAAGTCTGAAAACATTCTGGCTTGAAGTAATAACCTGCTTTCACGGCCAGATCAAGCAGTGAATCTATATATAGGACTCATTGAAAATTAAGAAATTATGTTTAATCTGAATCCAGTTCGCTGGAGGATGCCAAAACCCAGACCACCCATTTGTATCAGTATTTCCTAAACCCCATTATTTAGAACATTTGCATGGAATGTTAATAGATGTTCCTCAAAGAAAGGAGCCCATGATAAAATCAGTATTAAAACAAAATAACAAAAGCATTGCAATAACAAGACCACCATGCTGGGTCACAAACACCCTGAACATGGTAAAGGCCCCCAGGCGTTCCTTCACCTGTTTAACTATAACCCAGAATTTTTGAAATTCATGTTACCCCGGACCCTTTTGTGGAGATTAACTATTAATACTTGTGGATAATGTCCTGCCAGTTGGGTTTAGAAGTGTTGGTCTATATTTATTAGCTACCAAAGCAATTACCCAGTTTCCACTCCTCTGGGCTCTCAACTAGTGCAGTTTAATGGCTTTGCTAGAATATTCCAGGTTAAGCAACTCCTCTATAGTAAAAAGTCCGTTGGAGTCCAAATTTCTTAATTCTTTAATTCATGTCAAACAACTGAATTCTACACAAGAAACAAGTCAAAAGATTTTTGCTGTTCTTATAAATAAGCAAACTATATAGCTGTATGAATCTAGGGGAATCATTATTATGTGACAAGGGAGTAACAGACCCAGCACCATCCTATAAAGGGTAACCAGGTCTCCGCAGAACAGCACTGGCTTTAGAAGCTGATGCTGGAGAACTTCGGAAAGACGTCTAAAGAAATGGATCATCAGAACAAAGTAAGAATTAGTGTGAGATACCAACTCACTGGCAATATAATTTAAAATTGAACCAAAAATTATGAGAAAAATGCAAGGCTAAGAATGGTGCATTCAATATACTTCTAAAAATTTTTGGATTCTGTCATTGAAAGTCCATTTTCCAAAGAAGAACCTTCTGTATACAGTTATAATGACATCATGTTAGCACAGGGCACCTTAATTCATGAATGCACCGCAGATCAAATGATATCCTTCCAAATTACATTGAACAGGAATCCACTAAGTCATAATTAGTCTAAACAAGGTGGTTTTGTCTACCTCACTGCCAGCTTTTTCTAAAGGTGCTTCATTAAAATCACAAAAATAACCATTAAAATACAGTAAGCACCTGCCACTCTTTCAGGTGATCTAAAAGATGCCTTAACAAAACATGGCTTCTTTTGTCTATTGTGATACAGGCAGAGTACACATCTGAGACTCAAGTTCTCCCTGATCCCTCCAGGATTGCTGGTGTGGGACTTAGCAGACAGCATAGTCTTAGCTTAATGAATAGTGGCTAAATGGAGGGAAAGTTACAGAACCTGAAGAGTGGCAGCTTCCTTCCCCTTGTTATCACTACTACCAACCAGGGCCCAGGGCCCCAAGGCAGCGGGGAGCATCAGAAGATCCCTGTGGACCTGAAAATCAGAAGCAGGGGTGTACCTTGGAGGCGATGCACAGCCTAAGGCTGAGGGCCGGTGGGGTGGCCCCCCACTGCTAGACATATAATACAATCATAATGTCACAAGCAGTTCCTATCAAGGCCAGGCAAGATTCTGACATATGCGCTGGCAGGGGATTTCATTTCTCTTGGCTTCGCATTTCCATTTGAAAAAACCTGCAATAGAAAAACACTGCGGCCTCTCCATCCCTCTTCAGAGGAAGAGATGTATTAGGCGAGTTGGGAAGATATAGCTGAGCAAGGTGGTTCAGTCCCTTCTAGTTTCCTCTTTATGTCTGAATCATCTTGGCCAAAGAGAGGGGACAGTCCAGTCACCCCTGGCATACCATAAGTGGTCTGTCCCTGCAGGGAGGCCTAAAGTCAGGCCTGGGACTAGATGAATTAGGGTATCTAAGGCAGGACTGAAATGATACAAACTGCAGATTCAAAATCACATTCTCTAACTGCCTTCATTAGAAATAAAACTGATATTTTTTTCCTTTTTAATTTCAACCTGTATCTTGATTTTCAATTGGTTCTTATTTCAAGATTACACAAAAGGAGTATTACATGATGATCTCCTAACATCTTTCCTGCCCCTGCCCCCTGACAGTGTCCACGGCTCCCCCAGAGCCTCATCCTCTCCCTCATCAAAAGCAAGCTCCACGTGTCCTGTCCCCTCAACAGCCTGATCACAGTTACACAGCTGTGGGATTGACAGAAAACTCACCCCACAGTGGGCTATCTTGCCAGCAGATCACCTGTAACTATGGGAATTTTCAGCCTCCTCGGAACGGGGCAGGTATATCAAGAGCCTGCTGGTGACTCTTTGGATGCACAACTGAAAAATGCAATTTTGGCTCCCTACTGAAAGATTGAGTTTTGGTCCAGCCTCCAAAAGACAGACAGAGGAGGCTATGCCTCTTGACCCCATCTCCTCTCAAGAACAAAAATTATAATTTAATACTGTTGTTTTTTAAAAACAAACAAAAAAACATAGAACAAGAGTTTTTTGGAAGCCAGGCATATTCCTCTAAGTAGCACCGTACCTTTTGTCCTGATCTTCTTGGCTGTCACTTGCTTTGCTCACAGACAGCAGCCTCTTGTCTCGAGGAACCTGGAAACATCAGAAACCACCAGTCAGACTTGCATAAATGCCACTGTGACCATGTGCAGAGCTCGACGCCAGCAGAAGCAAAAAACTGAAATGGAACACTCTCTAGAAGAAGGTGGCAGATCTGCTACAGCCAGGAGATGGTTAAAGGTTGAATGGGTGCAAGGACAGTGGGCCAGACACAGGGGGGTGATGCTAAAAGGAGGGGCACGGCCATCACGATCCTGCTGGGCACTGCTGACATGGGCAACTCTCCTGGACCTGAACCACTCTTGAGCCCTCCCCACATTGGGAGCAGATGGGGGAAAGGAACATGATAAATGAAGGATGAATCTGGACATCTGTGCCCCAGAGCAGTCAGAAAACATCTTAGAGTTACAACAAGCATCCTGTTAAGGAAGAGGGACTGACCCTCTACTCTGATGAGGGGCTGCAGGTGCTGACATGAAGGGGAGCGATCTGGGCCCTGTCCAGTGAGGGAGCAGCATCTGAATACCTGGACCACCCTTTACCCATCCTCTCTACATAGTTCAAGGACTTGCTTCCAGTTTTTCTTCTAACACACTTTTATTGTCTTCACCAGCATAATGGCAATACATTGCCTGAAACATGATTGAAAAAGCACTGCTTGTGAGAAGGGGCAGCCCACCAGCGGAGTTTCTGGTCATCTATCTAAACACCCCACTGCAGCTCTGACTGTTTGCATTTCTCTGCCAGAGTTTTCAAACATGGAAATCGTAGGTTTGGATTTGTTTGGTTAGCTGGATAATTTGGGGGGTTTTGTTTTGTTTTGTTCTTGCTAGATTTTGAGATCTTCCTTCTAGCCAAACTCCGCTGCATCTAAGATGCAGTCTTCACTATTTTGACATAAACGAGCATTTTCGAGAGGCGTTTCTCTTCTGAATTCCCCTAGCAATTCTTTGTTTCCGCTCACCTGAATATACAGTGGTACCTTGGTTTTTGAATGTCTCTGTCAGCAAACATTTCAGTTTACGAACACTGTAAACCTGGGAGTAAATGCTTCAGTTTTCGAACACGCCTCAGAAGTCGAATGTGCCCTGCAAGATCCTGAGGACTAGCTGTCGGCTGTTGATCCCTCGGTTTCCGAACGTTTCAGAACTCGAACGGTCTTCCAGAACGGATTACGTTAAAAAACCAAGGGACCACTGTATATGCAAGCCCAGTGGGCTGGACTAGGGAGACAACAGAGCAGTGTGGCTGAGAGTCAAGTCCTCGACCGGAATATCTGGATTTGATTCCCAGCTCTACTGCTAACTAAACTCTGCCTCACTTCCTTATCTGTAAAACAGGCTTAATGGTAGTTTTATACCTCACAGCGTTTTTAGTAAAATTAAATGAGTTAATTTTTTTTAAAGCATATAGATTGTATGGTACTTTACAAGTATTTGTTAAAAAAAAATAAGATAAATCAATTATAAGTCCATTCACATGCCAATGTTGAGTCTACATACAATGCTCTGGGCATTGCTAAGTGCTGGATAGAAATGAGATTAATAAAACATTGCTCCTCTCATCTACTAAAGATCACATACAAGCACAGAAGTTCAATGCCCAGCACACCCATGTTCATAGTATTATTATTCACAAATAGCCAAAAGGGTTTTTTCCAAAATATTTAGTATCTATCAAAACAACCGGAGACAGGTAGGGTTGTAACAATATTAGGTTTTGGAAATGCCACAAAAGTCTACCCAAAAAGCATACATTGAAATATTCCTTGTAAAACTGAAAAGTCTAGAACCCCTGAATGTTTCTTATAAAATGGAAATCTAAGAGCAGCCTAAATGCCCAACAGCTGAGCAAGCCCTACATTATAATATAGCTACCCAGGGTGATATTCTTCAGTCACTAAAAATAATAATCATAAAGTGAAAGTATCTGCAATATGGCTTGAAATAGGAATTACATGTAAATAATATGTATGCATGTGAACGGAGAACACAGAAGTCATTATCCCAAATGAAAACGTTCCCTGGTGGGTGGGTCGTTGCCCCTCATCGATGGGAAACCAGGGAGGCAATGAGAACAGGAGGGGCTGGAGTCCACAGGAGGGGAAACGCTTCTTGGGCTCTGGCCTGGGATAAAGATCCTGTGCCTTCGTCCCCCCACTGAGGGGAGGCCCTGGGGGCAGGAAGAGGAGGGGGTGGGCTGCAGGTGTACCTTGTAGTAGTCGTACAGCAGGCCCAGCGCAGCAGCGCTGTCCTCATCGCCATTAATGCTCATCATCGCCTTGGTGGCCGCCGTCAGGGGATTCTCCAGATACGACTTCCAGGCTTCATCCTCACTGGTGTAGGCTCTTCGGGTATTGAATGGAGGGTCACTGGGCATGGGCACTAAGGCCACCAGTCGTTTATTACTGTAAAAGTGAGAGAAATGTGAGGTTCATCATCAGAGACATATTCCTCTTCCCATTAATAACATATGCATTTTATTTTATTATTCTTCATTACCGAATATGAGAATGAAACCCTGCGAGGAAGCAGGTTTCGTTTCATTCTCTGAATTCTAATTAGAAATATGTGCAATACGTAAATGCAATCACGTTAATGATTATTAAAAACTGTCGTATCTCGTTTAATCTACATTTGAAATTGCTGCAGTATTGGAGGCTAATCTGAGTCTTAATTAAAACAGGCAGAATAAGCTACTCTGCAAACAAGAGTTGCAGATACGCTGCATGATAAGGAAAAGAAACGAAGTGATAAGACAGGGTGGCCCCAGAATCCCAATCTGTTTAAATGACATAGGAGCTACGGGGTACAAAAGCCACCGTGGAGAGCGAGGAGTGGGTCCAGAGAACTGTCAGCAGAGACTTCAGGAGAGGATGGGCAGAAAGGGGCTGGAGGAAACACTTATTAACCCTAACCAAGCCACACTGGGGGAAAGCAGCAACTGGCAAACGCGGCAATTTCTTAAGGAGAATGCAAATAATGACAGAAATATCCAAGGACCATGACAGTCCTCAGCAGCTCTCCTGGGTCAGGACCCAGCTGTCAAGTAAAGGCACCGAGAGAGGCCTTGGCACTAACCCCCTGGCCCGCTTTCACCTGTTCACTGAAATAGAAACAAAATGGAACAGTGAGACATTGTATTTCGGTAACACCTATGTCCACTCACAATAACACAGCAGGGGCGAGCGACGGGACTGGTGAAGGCAACCCCTGTACTAATCAATGGAAACTGCGACACTGGCTAATTTCCAAAAGTTTAGCAGGAAGTGCCAAGGTGAAGGATAAGAGCCAACTCTTTTTTTTTTTTTCCCCCCAATATGTTTTTTATTGATTTCAGAGAGAGGAAGGGAGAGAGGGTGAGAGAGAGAAACATCAATGATGAGAGAATCATTGATCGGCTGCCTCCTGCATGCCCTTTACTGGGGATCGAGCCCGAAACCCTGGCATGTGCCCTGACAGGGAATTGAACCATGACCTCCAGGTTCATGGGTTGACGTAAGAGCCACCAACTGATCTACGCTACGTAGTGTCCTGATTCACTGGAGAGATTTTTCCTTGAGCCTATCTTCTCAAAGTCCCTCCTCCCTCCTGCTGAGCTTCCTGGATTGCTGATTTCATCTGTTCCCAGCACAAATGTTCCCTCATAAATTTAGATTAATCAGCCTTTCCCCTATATGACATGGTTGATGAGTCCTTGCATGATCAATGGAAAGAAATATTCTGGGAAAGCACAACTTCCCTTGTTGTTTCTTTTAATATTTTTGATGGCCAAAGGAGACTTTTATGCTCTTCCCTTTAACTGCGTAATGACTTTGGTATTTTTTCTTCACAGATTATAATCTCTCTGGTACAAAGCACTGTTGAGTAAAGCTTGGTTTTATAACAACAGAATAATCTCTCTGGGATAGTGAGCAGAAATACAGATCTGTTAAAAAAAAAAAAAAAAAGGAAAGTTTCACAGAACTGCTTTTGCGAAAGTTTGGAACAACTTATGTAGTTGATTTCATCATTGTGATCAACTTTTTCAATATCTTTTGTGTAGCTTTAGGTATATTAGGTTCTGGGTAGTCTCGAACACAGAACTGTAAAGAGCAACTATAGCCCTGGCCGGTGTGGCTTAGTGGGTTGAGCACTGTCCCATTCATTAAAAGGTTGCCAGTTAAATCCATGTTTCTCTCTCTCTCTCCCCCTCCCTTCCTCTCTCTCTAGAATCAATAAAAACTTTTTTTTTTTTAAAGAGCGACTCTAAACTTGGTCTCTGGTCCTTCTCTGAAGAAGAGTCTACATTAACACCTGAGCATTCACAGCAAGGCTAAGGCTGTGTTAGATCACACATATATATTTTTTTCTCATTTGTTTTCTTTAATCCACTACTTCATTTTGTGTATATTGGGAGAACAGTTGAGAGATGAGTCATCGGCTTTAGTAGTCAAAGAGGTGGAGCAGACATGTGACTAAGATCACAACCAACAAGTCAAGAAAAGCTCCAGATCACTGTCAGAGACAACCTACCACCCCCCACCCCCAGCATTAATAAGAGTCTAATGCAGGAATGCTTTGCTGGAGAGAGGCATATGAAGCTTAGCACACAGTGTCTTTACCTCCTAAAATGTGTGTAGTGATAGCCAACAAATCCAGACATAAATCCATTACACTTGGGATCACAAAACAAAAATGAGGAGAGTGAAATGTTGACACAAATGATCACTTGCAATCCATTCCTCACTATCCATTTCTTTCACGACTCCTTGGAGGGCATTGGTTTTGTTTATTTGTTTGGGGGTGTTTTTTTCTTAATCTAGGGGGAGGATGGTTTTGGAGTTGAATAAATTCAGTTTTAGTCTCAGTTCTGTCCTAGGAGACCCCCAATGATACCTCCTAGAGTTTCCCCTCTCACATTTTTCCAGAATTGCCTCAGATGACCAATAGCATATGGCAAAAGTGGTAGTATGACACTTCCAGAATTAGGCAATAAAGTCTGCGGCTTCCAAATTGGTAAATCTCAATCTCTCTCTGCCTCTGCCTCTACCCTCCACCCTCTACCTCTATCTCTATCTCTCTTTCTCCAGAAAAAGCAAACTGACATATTGTGGGGAGGAACTGAAGCCTTGACCAACAGCTAATGAGGACCTGAGGACTGTCAACAACCACGAGTGAGCTCCGGAGAGTCTCCGGAGTCAAGGCTGAAACCAATCACAGCCCCAGGTGAGAACCTAACTACAACCTCCTGAGAGACCCTGAGCCAGAACCGAGCAGCTAAATTGCTCTCAGATTCCTAACTATCAGAAACTGTAAGATAATACATATTTGCTGGTTTTGCTGCTCTGTTTTGAGATATATTACACAGCAGTAGATAATTAATAGTCCCCTAGTAATTTTCCCTGCTTTTACCATCCTTCCCTCCAGTCTATTCTCAACAGCACAGCATCTAGAGAAATCCCATTAAAACACAAACCACATCCTATCACTCCAGGCTCCACCCTGCCGTGACTCCTCATTTCCCTCAGAATAGAAGTTAAAGTCCTTCCGATGGTCCGCCAGCCCCGACGGGCTCTCACCTCCCTTCCTTCTCTGCCCTCCTCTCCCAGCACTTGCCTAGTTACTCATTCTGATCCTGCTACACTGATACCACATCTCTACCCGAGGGCCGTGGCTCCAGCTGTCTCACCTTCTTGGAATGTTCTTCCCCGCAAATACCGAGGCTAAGTCTTATTTCCTCCAAGTCAAATCTCACCACAAAGAAACTTATCCTGACCATCCTATTTAATGTAGTGGCCTGCCTCCACCCACCCTGGACTTTCCAATCCCTCTAGAACTTTCTAGCTCCATTACCCAGCTCCTTAATCTTTCTCCCCTAGCAGTCACGATCTTCTAACATTCAAAGGAGCTTTCCTATTTATTACATTTGGCGCTTACTGTCTGTCTGCCCTCACAAGAATGTACTCTTTGCAAGGGCTGGGGTTCTTTGCTTTGTTCATGGCTACACCCCATTTCGAACTGTGGCTGTCACATATGTGGTACTCAATTAACAGTTATTGAGTGAGTAAAAGTGCACTGAGGAATTAAAGTAAAAGTTGGGCCTTCAAGTACTATGAAGGGAATGGGGGAGCCATATTTTTCATGTTTTGATAAAATCAATTTATAGCATGTTTGTAAGGTTGGTTGTAAGCTATAAAGTATTATACAAATGCAAGTTCCCTCAATTTTAGGAAGTATAATTACAAATTTACTTTAACAACCACTGATCCTATTTAAACTATCTTTCTCTCACATCCTAATTGCTGTATTGCCTTCAAATTACACAAATGATATTTCACTCCTCTGGTCTCCTTAAATGTGAACTACAGTCCTAGGAGACAAAGCACATTTACATGCAGGCCAAAGGCAAGCAAGGGAGAGACTGAATCCGGCCAGGAAAGGTCTGCTCTTCACGACCCTTCCTCCCACCTGTGGCCTGTGACTCCCAACAGTTACCTGAGTGGGGGGAAGAACTTTCCCACCCAGGGCAAGCCCCCTCTTTAAGAAGTGGAGCTTTTATATAATTCTTAGGATACCACGCTGTGTCCTGGACCTCAGTCTCCTCTTTCCTCTCCCTCCCCACACCTCTCTCTCTCACACACACAGACACACAGCCTTTATCATGATGCGGTATGAATTCTGCTCTCCAAATAGAAGGTCTTTTTTAAACAAGGAAAACAGTCTAGTTTATTTCAAAACTAGTATCTCAGATCCATGGAACATCTCATCTTCTACTCTGAGCGGTCAGCACGTGGGATTCTGTCTTCATCTGCTTCAGTTGTTTGAGGCTGAATAACCGACATGTAATCATTTCAGCTCCCAGCAAAAAGAGACAGAGGCCAAATTCAGAAACTAAACATAAGAGCAAAGTTTCAAAGAAGCGACAGTTCTTTCCTTCGGAATCGTAGCGTTTTCCCCATTAACAGACTAAGACTTTCAAATGGAAATGAATGAACCAATCATCCTATCCAGGGTTAATGTCACAATTTAAATGCCAAATACGTTAGTCATTTCACTGCTGGCTTACTTTAGTAATATCCCTTCTTTTGGTGCTTGCTAGAGGCAAATCACAAGAGATAACAGGTACTTTCCATGTAAGAACAAGGGTTGAAATTTATTAGAAACTTTCTACACAGAGCATTTGTCCTTAATGACTCTAACCTTTTGCCATTGAAAAAAAATCCATGTACGTAAGATTCAAGGGAAGTGAAATGAACCCACAAACCTGGGACGATATTGATACGCTTCATGTTGAAAATATTATGATGCCCTCCACCACAGAAAAGGCAGAGTTTTAAAAAATTATGTACTATAACACAAAGCTTACATGTAGAGAAATGCAGATAGTTCCCTTTTTAGGTACATTAATAATAAAATATTCTGATTC